AATAAGCGAAGAGCTTATTATAAATATTAAAAATTAGATAAATACTAATATCCTTTATCTTTAAAAGAAATGTTATAAATTTAAAAAAAGGTTAGGTTATCTAAAGAAAATACTTAATTTCTTATTACTTCTCTTAACTTAATATAAAGTAGACCTAGTTATATTATAAATAAAACTTATTAAGGATTAATTAAAGCTATTTAGTATATTAGAGTATTAAAAATATTAAATTCTAGCGAGTTCGGATATCCTAAATTAAAATAAGCCTTAGTTCCTCCTTTTATAGATTATAAGATAACTTATAATATTATAGGCTTATGTTAATGTAGATAGTAAGGTTTCGGACCTCTATTATGATAAAAAAGTTAGTATAGTTAAGAAAATAAGATAGTAAGAGTATACTTTATTAAATATATTAACGATTTCTCTTTTTTATTACTTTATATAAAGAGAATAAACCTAATTATTAGACTAATCTATCTTTATATTCTTATTCTTTAGAATTATCTTTAACTTCCTAAGAAGATTATTTAAGCTAAGCTAAATAATATAAATAATATAAGGAAACTAAGTAATAGTAGAACTATTATTTAATTTAAGAGACTATAATAATTCTTAAATATTTAATATTAAGGTAGTATTATTTTATATATTATTACTTATTACTATAAGTACTTAATCTATAATTTAATACTATTAAAGGAGTTTTAAAATTATATCACTTAGATTTATACTAAAGTAAGATCTAGATAAAGATTTAAATCTAAGAGGAACCTCTTAATATTATTAATATTAATTAAGGAAGTAGCTAATAATAGCTATAAAGGCCTATCGAAATAGAGAAATCTAATAATCTAATATTAGTAAAAGCTTTACGTTTAGAGGAAGCTTCTAAAGAATAGATTATTACTATTTTTAAATTTACCCTTATAGCTAAGACCTTATTATAATTACTAAAGAAATATAGGGTTATATAAGGGTAAGTTAGGTAAAAATAACAATATTACGGAACTCTGAATATTTAATAAATTAGAAAAGAAAATATAATAAGATAAATAATTATAAAAGCTTCTATTCCTATACTTCTTATATAAAGATTATTATTATATTTAGTAAGTTCTATACCTATTAAATAGGAGTATTATAAATAAATAATTGAATATACTATATTTAATTATTTATATATACTATATTTATAAGTAATTCCTTAATATTAGCCTTCTGGTAAGTAGATTTATAATATATTAGATTAATTATATACCGATTTAGGGTAATCATTTTATACCGCCTACTTACTAAATAATTAAGGACTTTTTAGTATTAGCGATACTTTACGCTTAATTTTCTAATTTTTATATTAATAATTTAATTAAATTACTCTTCGTATATCGCTATACCGTTACTATCTTAATTAAGTTATTTTTTCTTCCTAAACTTAGTCTCTAACTACTAAGCGATAAAGTTATTCTTTAATATTTTAGTATAGAGAATAAATACTAATAATCGACTAAGACTAATATACTAAAGTAAAAAAGGAATTAAGGGTAAGGGTATTAAAGTAAGAAAACCGGAATTTAATACTAATTTAAGTATTTACTAGCTTCTAGAAATATTAGGTATTAAGAACTAATTATTTAAAAACGAGAGAAAAGTATTAACTAATTATTATTATATATTAATAAAGGATAGATATGTAAGAACTAAGATATTTAGGATATTATTAACTAAATAATTATTAATAAAGGATAATTAAAAAGGGAAAGAGAATTAGTTATTTAAAGAGATACTACTATAGAAACCTATAAGTCCTTATAAATAGAATTAGTGAATTACTTTCTTATATAGCTTAACTACTATCGAATATAGTATTAGTTAACCTACTTTAACTTATTATTCTCTTTATAATTAGTATTGGAATATAGACCAATGCTACATAGAAAGATCTACCCTTATATTCAACATATAAGACCAGATTGCATTGATCATGTGACCGGATTTTTTTTCTTTCTACAAACAGAATTTCAGACCACTTTCGGGGGTGCCTTCGGGCATGCCTTGCCCGCGGACTTCAACCATGGTCTTCGGATCTCGGTGAACAGACTTCGACCCTCGGTCCCCTTAAGGATAGGCGGACCACTTTCCTTTAGGGGTAAAATGGTCCACCTTTGCGCATGCATAGCCTGATCCTGCGGGGATGCCTTCGGGGTGGCTTAGACCGTCGATCCTTGACATCATTCTTTTCGCTTTTCTTCGGTTCCCTTCTCTGCCACCTTCATTATGTTGCTGCCTAGTGTCTGTACGTCATTTGTATGTCATTCTAGACGTCATTTCTAGGCTATCCTAGCCTATAAATACGTCCTTCTTTTCTAGCAGAGATAGAATCAAGTCATTTCCACTTTCCTGAAGTCATTTCCACTTTCCTGAAGTCATTTTCCACTTTCCAAAGTCATCTCTATATTCTTCCTTTGATCCTCAGGACTGTGGTTCTGCCTTCGTTTAGGCTATATCTGCCTATAGCCTGTCCTACGACCTTTGACCTTCTTCCTTTGTCTGTCACTGACTGACCTAGCCGGACTAAGGTTGATCCCATGGTCTTAAGGGGCCACGAAGTGCTTCGTGGTAGCTTTCCCCTTATAGCCCGACAAGTATTTCCAGTAATTAATTAGTTAAGTAAGCGGTTAGTCTCTCTTTTATATTATAAGACCATTAATATATTAAAGATAGCTTAGTTATTTATCTCTAATATTATATATTACTTTAGCCTATTAAACTTAATTACATTAGACTAAGAAGGCGAATTTATCTTAGAATTCTAGATAAAAGTCTACTAAGTCCTAAGGATTAAGCGTAAGCTATTAACAATATATTTTTATAGATAAATAGCTAAAATAAGATTATAAACTAATATATAATATAGTAACTTTAAATATTAATAAATTAATATTAGGATAACTAATTTAATTAGCTTATAATCATAGATTTCGCTATTATAGCTTTATAATAAAGTTTTACTGAGAGATCTCCCTCTTTTATTAAGTAAGGATATAAGCTATAAATATCCTGTGACTAAGATATACCTATAAAGCTATCTATATTATCTTAATTAATATAAGAAGCTTAAGACTATATTTAGTAACTTTAAAAGGTCTAAAAGAATATTTAAAAGAAAATTAGATAAGCTTAAGAGCGTTAATATACTTAGGCTAATAAATATCACTAAGTAGATTTTAATATTAATAATATAGTCTTTATTATTATTAGAAATTAGAAACTTAATTAGCTAAGTAAAAAACTCTTTCATTAATTTAGTAGCCCTTGTAAGATTCTTTTTTAAAAATATTATAGCTACTAGCTTAACTTATTATTATCTATTAAGAATCAACTTAGTCTTTTTTTTAGATAAGCTCTATTATATTATAAGTTTTAATCTACTTATAGATTAAATTATAGATCTAGCTTTATTAATAGAAGTTAATAACTAATAAGAATAAAAAGTTAATAAAATCATAGATATCTAACTATATTATTAGAAGCTTTAATATCAGGCTAGATAGATCGCAATTAAGAATAATAACTAATATCCTACAAGTAATTTTAAAAATACTCCGAATAAGCTAATAGCTTTTTATAAGTATTATTTAGTACTACCTAGACCGCCTATATATTTATTAGTATAGCTTAATATTACTTTAAATAATTACTTTATAGGTAATTATCTAGATAATAAAAAACTAGAGCCTTAGGGCGAGCCTCTCTAAAAAGGGAGACTATATAATATGTAACTATCTTAAGGCCTAAGGGAGGCCTAAGGGGGAACGCAATCTGGAAGGAGCTATAGGTCTAACCTAATTTAGGATAGAAGTAGTTTTATTTCGTACATGCTCGTTTCCCTCTTTCTCTCTTCTTCTTCTTCTCTAGTTTAGTTACTTTTATTAATGATACACAAATTCATCTTCGTCTTGGTCTGTAACACTTACTAAGTCTAAATTATCTGGATACCCTCTTAATTTACGTACGAATTAGGTCCGAGACTTGCTTATTATACTGCGGGGTAATTCTTTACCGCTAGTCCTTAGTATTCCTTTACATTTAGGTTATTCGAAAATATATAGAGTCGACTTAGTCCGAAATATAGGACTGACCTTACACATCTTCGACCACGCCGATCCTATATATTTCGGACTATATCTCCTTTAGGAATTTCGGGCTAAATGCTAACCTCTTTTGGAATTTCGGACTATCTATACCCGCTAAAGGGCAGCAACTTTAAACCACCCTATTAAATTTAATAAAATAGATAAAGATATTCTAGCTTAATAAATTATATCTTAGACGCTCTAGTTTATAGGGAAGAATATAATAAAATTTAATTTGCTTATATAAGCGTTTCTTTTCAGCCAGGTTTTGCCCACTAGACAGTGCTGCTCTATGATCTTCCAGAACCGTCGCGACATAACGTCACAGAGATAGTCATGTGAAAATCCGCTCTAGAACAAGGCACAAATGACGTCATGGTGTCATTCTCGGGGTTTCCTAAGGCCGAAATCGGAACAGTAGCCTTAGCAACTCAATGTTCACCATAATTAAGGACCTCCAAGAAAGCGCAAAAGAGGCTGGATCCTGCAAAGGGCGGGTGCAAAGTTTAGCTGAACTCTATCTACGTAGGCCTGTCAAGCTAGAACGGTCCCGCCCGTAGTCTAGATCCTCTTTAACGCTTTGAATTCAGTTGTGAGTAATAAGACTTTCCAATTTGTCTGAAAACGTACAGAACGATGACGACACAATTATGCTCTGTTAGTTGACTTTCCAGCAGCTACCAAAGTAGCGACAACCAATTGTGTAAGGACGTTTTATACTTGGTTCGATCTATTTATTGGAGATTCATGACGAAAGACCTTCTGGATACCGAGGCATGTACTCTGTTCTCGTCCGTATATATCTTCGAATGGGATTCACTCAGTTCAGGTTTAAGCACAGCAAGCAACTTATAAGTGATCGCCATGAAATTGCTGACGACATTGAAGCTGTTTCCTGTATTTATTGCATGCCTCGGGGTGTGCAGCCACGCTGATGGTTCTCCCGATGAACGAGATACCCTGCAAGGGAGAGCTGCAAGACTGCAACGAGACTCGCTGACCGCGCCGTCTCCATTGCTTTACGGACGGGCATTTCCCAATGCACCCAATGGTTACACGCCGGAGGGCGAAACTTGTCCTGCAACTAAACCATTCGTCCGCAATGGATCAATGTTGTCGGCGAACGAAACCGCATGGCTGCAACTGCGACGTAACGTTACGGTGGACGCGATGAAGGACTTCCTGGGTGGACTAGACTTCGGCTCCTTTGATGCATCTTCGTATGTCCAGCAGAACACTGCCAATGCGACTGCACTCCCAAATATCGGGATTGCTATATCGGGCGGTGGTTATCGATCGCTGATGACTGGCGGTGGCGCTCTGCAGGCCTTTGACACTCGAACACCCAACAATTCCGGCCAGCTGGGAGGCGTTCTGCAGTCGGCAACTTATCTCGCTGGGCTAAGCGGGGGTAGCTGGCTGGTAGGATCTATCTATCTTAATAACTTCACGGATGTCACATCGCTGCGAGACAGCGAAACAGTATGGCTGTTCCAGGATTCTGTCTTTGTCGGCCCAACGGAGAGTACGGACTTTTCTATCACGACGCCCGAGTACTACTCGGAGTTGGAGGATGCAGTGAGTGGAAAGTCTGACGCTGGGTACAACACCACGATCACCGATTACTGGTAAGAAAGGTCTCTCTGCTGGGTATATCCTTCGTGGATAATAGTACTAATCTGATAAGAAGGGGTCGGTCGCTTGCGTACCAACTTATTAATGCCACCGAAGGTGGTATAAGCTACACCTGGTCCTCTCTTGCCCAAGGCAATGATTTCCTGAACGGAAATATACCTATGCCCATTGTCGTCGCGGATGGCAGAGCTCCAGGGCAGGTCCTCATACCCGACAACACGACCGTGTTCGAATATAATCCGTGGGAACTTGGAACGTTTAACCCGCCTTTAGAGGCCTTTGTTCCTCTCCAGTTTCTTGCATCCAACTTCTCAGCCGGGACACTTTCAGAAAGTCGAAAGTGCGTCAGCGGATTCGACAATGCCGGATTCGTGATGGGCACTTCATCATCGCTATTTAACCAAGCATTCCTACTAATCAACACCACTGATGCACCTCAGGCATTGAAGGATTCCCTTAACGATATCCTAGGCACACTTGGAGAGGAAAATGTGGATATCGCCGTGTACGAACCCAACCCATTCTATCTATATACCAACGAGTCCGAGTACGCCAATTCCACCATTTTGAGCCTGGTAGATGGCGGAGAGGACCTTCAGAATATTCCTCTGGAACCTCTCATACAGCAGCAGCGCAATGTAGACGTGGTACTGGCGCTGGATTCGTCTGCTGATACGAGCACACGATGGCCTAACGGCACCGCCATGGTCGCCACGTACGAGCGCAGCCTAAGCTCACTTGGCAACAGCAGCGGCATCGCATTTCCGTCTGTACCGGACCAGAACACCTTCATCAACCTAGGACTAAATAACCGCCCGACGTTCTTTGGCTGCAACAGCTCCAATATCACTGGCTCAGCGCCGCTAATTGTATATATCCCGAACGCGCCGTATATCTACCAATCCAACGTGTCCACATTCGACCTGGAGTACAATATTACTGAGCGTGATGCTATAATTGAGAACGGCTACGACGTTGCCACGCTGGGTAACGGAACTATTGACTCCGATTGGCCGACTTGTCTAGGCTGCGCGATTCTCAGTCGCAGTCTGGAGCGTACCAACACTGCGGTCCCCGACAGCTGCACCGCGTGTTTCCAGCGATACTGCTGGAATGGTACGACGAACAGCACCGATCCTGGCGCTTATTATCCTGACTATAAGCTATCACAGTTGCACATCGATAGCACCGCGGAATAATTTCTCCTTTCCGGCTAGGATCTCGTCGGTGTGATTGTCATGTACTGGTACTTTTGTTCTTATGTGCTTTGTATATCTAATTTTGCTTGATTCTATATATTGGATATATCGCAGCTCTAGCAACCAACTATCTAATGCCAAAATGATTTTCTTCAAGAGGCCGAGCAATTGATAGTGATGACCGTCTCGTGCGGTCAATTAGTTAGGTAATTCTAGAATGCTTCAATAAAAGGGATAACATCATAACAAGATGAAAGAAGTCATTCCAGCTGAATTCTAGCATAATTAGCGCATTTACCTATGGAGCCGAACAAGGTTAAAATGCGGGGACAATTCCTTGTGCCCAAATGCTGAGCAATTTTCCCGACATATACTCCTAGATTGGACCCGGATATAGAACTTGCTTTTACAAGGGCTAATGGCGTGTACTTCCGCGGGTTGTACTGCACAGTCCTCCGCTTCGAGTATATTACAGCAGCGCACGAACGCAAGACTCACTTCTGGATAGCTATGGCTTTGATGGACATTGGCGCGGCAGAGACGAAGATTCTCCCTACGTATTTGCCCACTGTATATGGCTCGCATTTTGACATAACCATTGCGGATCGAACAGAGCCCACGCACCTCGTCGCATCTCCTGCAGCGGAAGGGTTCGGGAATAGCGTCCGCTCATTCCCTCGTCGTATGTGCTTTCACTATTTTATTATCCTGTTGATGCGTTATTTATTCGCTTTGCAATAATTGATTGTCTGTGATTTCCAAGGCTCTTGGAGAAGACAAAGGTATCCTAGCTAGAATTTGGCACACGTTATACTGTAGTAAGATCCCGCAGTCCTATACTTCCTATGGGAAGGGCATCATATCTGGATGAAATGGGTGCCCAGGTAAGGTTCCTTGGAGACGAAAATTTAATGATATACTCACTCCACAACACCTGCGCAGCTTCCCGCGCTGTCACGCCCCGCGACTGGTACAATTGTTTCACTTAGTTCCTTCACTGCAGGAGATGCTCAGGGTACCATTTGTTCTTGAGAGGGGGTGCACTTGTACTGAACAACGGCGCCACGGAAAACTGACATAACACGTGTTCTCAATCGATTGATGTCCATATTGTAGTGGGAGAACTGGTGACATAATGAGCCTATGTGTGGCCTCAGGCATGATTTAATGTCTGCAGTGCATAGTACATCTCCAGACACACTTAGAGGGAGATAAGTTATCTACCTAATTCATTTAGGATTCACCCAATTTCTTCTATCCATAATATAGTATTAAGATTATCCCGCACGGCCGCAATAGGGCATCAGACGGCCTCATCTAGCATCCTCTACACCAGACAGGCAGTGTGTGTGTGTGTGTGTTATCCAGTCTGCATCGCCAGACAGCCATCGAGCCGCTCCCATTTCAATATGTATTTTGGCATTGCGCGAGATTTGGCCCTCTTTCCCGGCTTTCTACACCCACACTGGCGGCTGTGCGACCTAACCAATTGTGGCACCAGATAAGTGAGTTGCAATCTAACGACCCTCCAAATTAGGCGGACGACTTTGTTTGTCAGGGAAGCGTGCCCATTCGACTAATGCGGGCGTCCTCACAATAGCGCACTTCGGAATCCACGTTCCTCAACACGGTCTACCGGAGCCTGCTCCATGGGGAATCCAGCCTTTTTAATGCGGTCTCATTATTGCACCATATTCACGAGTGAGCCACAGTAGTGCTCTTTGCTTGCATCTAAGGATTCGTATAATTGTTTGCTATATTCTGTCTATGTTGCGTTCTTTGGGTCCCCAAGCCTCGAGCTAAAGCTAATTTCGGCGGTGCGGGATCATTGACTTGAAGCTACTGAAAGGCACATCCAACCTGACGATGCATCAAGCATCTACAGTCGATCGCCGGAAGTTCCTAAGGACACTTTGTCGTAGGACTTGATGCCTATTATCCTTCCTGTCCGACATGACCTCCCCGAAATGAATACATTAGATCACCAGATTGCCATGGCACGGGGATCTACCATTGCTTTGGAGACTACCAGGACGCGTATACGATCCTCGAAGTCCAGGAAACGATTGTCACTTTCAGAACTGAAAGAAGAGAGAGTTCGCCAGCGTGACGAACAAGAAAATGAAAATCGATTCTATCGATCTTGTTTCGAAAACCTCCACCAACTTTTACTATCCACAATACAGGACATACAGGTTCTCGCATTACAATACCATTTTGAACCAGAGACAAGCCCAGTGGGGAATGAACACATCCATCAGGCAGTCGGGAAGCTCCATGCAGCTGTGAATCGATTCAGACTTGAGGAGGCTCAAGCAGAACAGGAGTGGAAACAATACTGGAACCCCTTTCGAATTTGGAGCTCTACAGTGCGTTGGCTCTAGTACTGCTGAGTGTGCTTGAAGGCTCTCCATGAATTATAGTTCATAATACGGGGGAAAGATTTCGTCATTCTTTTCGGCTCAGTTGACTCCAGTATTTAGTAGCTTTGGCGTTATAACAATAGACATTGAAACGCGTGCATTCGGAATGTCAAGTTCAAAGACCCATAATACGACAGCCTTGTCGTTGTTTCCTCTTTGAACGGTCAACGATAAACCTCGGAGTCGTTATGCAGAGACTACTGCTTGCGGGAAATCTTATTATCACGGAATAATAAGAAGAGATGAATGCCTGTTCCACTAATTTCAAGTAACAGTGGAGCCAGTAAGTTCATTGTGCTTACTGACAAGACGCTCTTCATGGTTTCAGGATAGACGCAAAAGCTGCTTTTTGTCAGCTCTCCAGAAACGTGTTCTCTGGGCGGCATCGTTCATGTATCTAGATACTAACATGAAGGAAACAGTGCAAACATTCAGATAAACTCGAGACCTATCTAAGACCATGTATATACTAACTAAGCATGCTCGACAAGAGCCGGAATGCTCGGCAGGTTTGAGCAACGACATTATCCACATGGCTTTCCCAACTATGCTGTTAGAGGTACTGTACATCCCATCAACCATTCTCTGTCGACTGAACCGCTTCGAATATTTCTTATTCAATTCCACGGCTAACTCCAAGTACCTGTAGCTGACTCTCCCTCGGGCTTGAGACAGAAGCCCCCACTTACACACCACACTCATTCACGAAATTGGCTTGACCAATACACACTGAGCAACTCTTCTCTTGCCCCACTGCCAAGGCATTAGCGGAGATAAATTAAATGAGGGACATCAGTAAAATGATATGTATGGTCCTGTACCTTGCCATTACATCCTACGCTTTGACCACTGAGCAATAACCTTCATGGCCAATGTACAGTGCGTCTCGAAACCAGTGCCACCACCTACACTCTTCAGCCTGTGGAGATTATCCCTCTATATATTGGGAATTGCGGCGGAGTATTTTGATAATCTATGCTAGTCAAAGGCTGTTGGTGGAGAATATCTGAATCCTGCGAATCCTAGCTGTAACCCATGGCTGAAACTATCATAACTCGTCTGAGGTAGCTCCCCATCGCCCTTTTGTTTGGTTCTTAGGAAGACGCAGCGTTTTCAAGATCTCTTGTACGGCAGCATCCTGGCCGGGATAAGTTTGTAGCACAGAACTAATCTGCTTGGCTTGCTGCGAGATGCGAACCCCTTCGCGTTCCTGATTCAGTACGCTCCGCAGTGCAGCTGCCAACTCCCCGTTGGCTATGAACGGGGCATGGGCTCTGTTCACCCATTTTGCCGATGCCTAGCCACTCAGCCTGGACTGCGTAGTCGTAATCGTTTTGCCATTTAGGTAAGAGTAACTGGGCAATACAAGATATGGTCTCACTGGTCAACAATGACGCGATGCCTGCCGGATTCAGTTGCAACTTGCGCTCCGACGATGCGATATATAAGATATTGCGTCAACTACCGAATGGACGTCACCTGTTCGAGAGTCTTCTGTCTGGTTTCTGATATTCCACAAAGCCTGGAGATGCTCGTATTCCAGTAGAATGGGAAGGAGCGCCTGCGCGACTTCAGTTGCATCGTCTTTTGTGAGTCTCTGTAGGTCATTAGTAGTATAGGTCGTCGGGAATCGAGCCAGCATTTTAAGCAGTCTTGCCAGCGTTGGTCTCGACCGGTTAGTGACGGTGCCAGCGGTATAATTGGTCCACATGCTATGACGTTAGGGGGAACGGATATAGGATACTCGATTTCGAGGGAAGAAGTGATGAGCACTGTGACTTCGTCTCTGTACCAATCGACAAGATTGACGGGGTTGGCCACACCATGATGTTGTCGGCATGATTTTAATCTGCGTAAATGCGACGAGAACACCATTGTAAATGCCCTTTGCAGCCACAGGTAGGCATTGTACGAAGCAAGGTACCAGGACAAAGGGGACGAGAATCCAGAGCCAATGCTTTAGCCGTGTTAGTGCCAGGACTTAAGTGCATGAATATCTGGTACTCACCAGGGAAACTCTCGAATCATTTTCCCCGCTGGCTGCTGTGTTACGAGCACGTCGCGTAAATTACTCGTAGATAGAATCATATATTGATAGCCCAGTTGCAGCACCGCATCGTTTGCCTGTCTTAACATTGGGTCGATCACAACCAGTGTTGGATCGACCGTCTTGATCACGTCGAGCATATTGCGATACATTTCCAGATACTCGGTCCCATTCCACGGTACTAGGGAGGTCGGTAAATCTTTTCGCGAAGCTGCAGCGCCGCGGAAGCCAGCGGGGTGTGATAGACCCGATAATCGATACTCTTCCAATTCAAGCCGCTTCGCATAAGGGGTTCCATTCAGAGGATGGAACCTGACTCGGGACAGGCCCGTAGGTAAATTTGATACCTCATCTCTTAGTTCCGGGAAAGACGCGAAATGAATATCCACTAAGGGATATCGAATGAGCGACTGGCATGTCGCTAAAAAGGCCTTGGACTGCTCGTGATCAGAATTGGTGAGGAACAGCACTTTCTGATCGGCGTTTGGATAGAACACGTCCGAACCCCACGAGAACGGAGATTCTATACAATAAGCAAGTTTGATAAATTTGAGAAGAAGAAAAGATATAACGAGCCAGGGCATCATATCGTGCATAGTCGATCGAGATAAGTCTGACGATTGTAAGGAATGCCGTGGCTGTCAATTATTATGAGGCTTGTGGGGCTTAGACTTTGTCAGCACGTATGTGTGTGTATTGGAAGGGGCCCCTGGGGGCAGCCCGACTACTTAACTGGTTAAACTAGTTAGAACTATAAGCGTCGTACCCGAGATCACACGACCCATGTGAGAGTAGTCCAACAGATTTTTCTAGTGTCACGTGAGGCATTCTAAGGTCGATAGAGTAGTTAATGTCTGGGGATGCGCTTTTGAATTTACGGTTTTGGAAAATACACGATTTTTATTGAACTTGAGAGATTTTCACCGTTAGTCAAGCCGATTCCGAGAATGACTTTAACGCCAGCCCCGATCTCTCTGAATTACTTCATAAAGTGGCATTGCCTTCTTTACGTTGACCCATTCCCGAATATCTCCTACGAAACATCGAGCGATACCCATTTTATTTCCTTTAGCCGATGAAGAATCCTGGATCTTGATCCTTGTAGGCCTGCTCAAGGTCAAGGCTACTCTCGAACATCACGTCACATACTTGTCGGAAAGCTGCCTTGAGAGTGTCATCGGTGACGTTTGTCGCCTGCCACTCACCGTACTCCTTGACAGCTTCATCCCTGGGTCCAGGAATCTCGAGTAGGCTCATAGCATTCGAGTCAACAGTCGTCTTGGTAATGGACATGTCCTGCCCTGGAGCGGACGATAAGGGCAGAACATTGATGTTGATGGGAGGATACGGTACTCCGCTCCTAAAGGTAGGGCCGTCTTTGCCCTTGCCTCTCTCTAGTTTCTGTTACTCTTCTATATATAGATCTTCACGAACCGCTTCGGCGACGTCTTTGTGCGACTCTAGGGTGCCAACTTTTTTAACGTAGGTAACTAGACGCTTTAAATAGTATGTCTTGAGTTAATTAATAGAACTTCTTCTCTAGCAGGTCTAGCCAATAACAGGGGCCTAGTAGTATATCAACGAAGAGTATTATTTTAAATTATAGATACTACGCCAAACTACATAGGGGGTCAAAAGTCTGTTTACATATCTGAATTTATACCCACCCCCCTTTTCCAATTAAACTTCACCACCCCATATCTCCACCACTATGAGGTCTTTCGGCATCGAAATTAGTGGTAATCGGCCGCGTGGAGCTGAGCTTTCAGAAACCACTCGTGCTGCTATTGTTTATGCCCTTGAACTGGGTGGAAAACCCACCCAAATTGCAAAAGATCTACATGTGTCGCGTCAAACTATCTATAACACCAAAAACCACTTCCAAAAGCATGCACACGTCAAAACAAACCCCCGATCAGGCCGCCCACTGAAGCTTACCCCCTCTGAGCGTCGATATATGTTCCGTCTAGTACGCCGCAGCCCTACAATAAGCTATAAAGCCCTTTTGATTAATACCGACTTTAAAGTATCAAAATCAACATTGAAACGCGTCCTAAAGCGCTGCAATATCCGCAAATAGGTTAGCAAGAAGCGTATCTTTCTTAAAAAGCATGATGCAAAAATTCGACGCGCCTTTTGCCGAAAATGGGGTAGTGTGCTATATTTTGATGATATGATCTTTTCCGATGAATGTTCCGTCCAACGCAAGTCAAATTCTATCCACCAATACGTATTCTCATTTAAGAAAAAGCGATACAGGAAGGATCTTGTGAACCTTATGAATTATGGCAAAGATATCCGGCAGATGGTTTAGGGATCTATCTGGCTTGGTGGTCGCTCAAAGTTGATGATTATGGAACGCGATGCTTTTTCGAAAAAGAACGGCTACACCACGAATTCATATCTTAATACCCTCGAGGAAGCGCTCCTACCTATGTACGAGCCTAGCACAATATTCCAGTAAGATAATGCGCGTATCTACGTGGCAGAAATTGCAAAAGAATGGTTCGAAGAGTATGGGATATGGGTAATGGAATGGCCGCCGCATTCGCCTAATTTAAATCCTATTGAGAATGTCTGGAACTTGCTAAAATTAAAGCTATTCGAGCTTTATCCACAGCTTGCCCAGCGTGGGCGTTCTAAGATGGATTGGAATGAATTCCGTAAAGCCCTAGTCATCGCATAGGATAGCATTGATCAGGCTAAAATTGATAATTTTATCAGATCTATGCCTCGCCGCATTGCCGCGGTACGAAAGGCAAAGGCCTGGTATACGAAATACTAGATAGTTATCATATGCATCCAGTTTGAATTGAATATCTTTTAAAATGGTGGAGAAATTAAAGAAAATAAAATGGGAAGATAGAGGCGAAATTGGTGTGTACACAGACTTTTGACCCCCTATGTAGCTTCTGCTAAAGACGTTCTGCTCAGTATCTAGCAATACGTCTCGATTATCGATTATCCTCTTTATAATAGAATGTTTCCCTTTTTTCTCACCTTTTCGTCCACCGGCTAGAGATCGGCTATCCTATATAATTGAAATAGATACCTAGCCGAAGCTTTTTCCCCCGACGAAACAGACCCGACTAGATCACGAGTTATTTTTCAATAGCAGTCCAAATTATAACGGTGTATCGAATCGCTTAGTAATATATCACGATGGGAACGATCGTTAACTATGTCATTAGCTCTCACCCGTTGGTTGCGAAAACCCTTTCGTCGAAGGACGCTTTCTAGTTTATCCTCCAAGAAGAGCTACCAGTGGGCACTAGGGGCCAGAACGAGGTCTTCATCCGTGTCCTTAGCCACAACCCGAATATTAATGATAACGCGCCACTCAATTGAAAGTGTATACAGATCGGCGGGTCCTCATCATAGGCTCTTCCCTCTTCCTACGCGGATAACTAGAGCAGTCTGAGGGTATCTAGCCGAGGCTGGCTTGCCAACTCAGGTACATTCAGAAGCCCACGGGATGGGGAAGGGCTGTAGCTAGATCGCGAGACGTAGGGGCTGCCGATGTATCCGGGGGTTGGGGCATACTGCGAATTCCGTTCCGATGGCTCAAGATCTTGGGTCTGAGGTATACAATCGATGTAATACGGGCTTTAATACGGGCTTTAATACGGGCTTTAGATCATCTTAGCCATATTGAAAGTCCTTCAAAAGCTTACGTTAATTGAGTGGGGATCAATGGACGCTTCCAGCGAATGATAATTGCAACAGATGGAGGAGCCATGAAACCAAAAAGCTTGATTTCCTCCCTTGGATAGCTTTCCCAGTACTTAACACAGCCTTCTATGATATGCAAAACGAGCGTGGGCGAAGGCTGCGTGCAATCTGGAAGACGAAATGAATGGTGGGCGTTCTTGCCAGATCACCAGAACTTCCATCTTGTTTGTTCAATTTGCACGGATAATTAAAAAAATCCGAATCTGAAATTTCTACGAGGTTCCATGGAATGTTACGACATGAGGACAACGACTCATTTATTACTGCCAGCCGTTACAATACAGGCAGACAGGGGTACTGTGGAGTAGTGACTAAATTAAGATTTGGGGGTTTCGGGTTAGGGTTCGAGAAACAATTCGTGAGTGTGGGGTAAACTGATTTCGAATATTGCTGTATTGCCTCCTGTTTTCTGTCTAGACCTTGACATAGGACGCCTATTGGACACCCTTAGGTAGACCTAGACACGGGCCGTGTACAGACACCAAAATTTGTCTATGCCTATAGATAAATGTGTCCCTAGGAAAGTTTAGGGATGTCCTTAGCAATTCCCGGCTTATTCGTATTCGTAAATTTTAGTACCCTACCTATTCGTGTGCACCCGTACCTCAAAGCAAGAGCGTTCTTAGGTCACGATGGAATGCCCCACACATCTTCGGTACGCGAAGCGAGTAAACCCCTCCAAATTGCGATGTTTGAAAACCTCATTGGATATCATAATGGCACAAAATCTTCACCGACTCCGAGATGAGATAAGGCTTCGTACGAATGCGGGAGGTCGGGCTTCAGACCTGTCTCTTGAAATAAGCACATTAGCCACGAGCAAATTTGAGGCCACGAGCAAATTTGAGGCCACGAGCATATTTGAGGCCTTTACCAAACCGTTTTGGTGGCGTCCAAGCGTGCCGGGGCCGAGTTTGTATCTTGCCCGGCGGATTCTCGGATATTTCCACGTAGGCTTATCAGGAGTCCACCAAAGACCTAAGGTTGTCTAATTGTGGCCTCGACTGGGTTTCCTGCCTCCTTCAAGGGTCTTTTTGCGGACCAAATCGTACGGCAGTGAGGGCACCACCCTCAGCGTGTGCAGCTAAAAGTTCAGCGTGTGTTGACTAAGCCCTAGGGGCGCCGGCGCTTTTACGCTGAGCTGTAGTAATAGAAATTAGTCAACACACGATGAACTTTAGGTAATAATCTATGCTCAGGATTCCTAGGGTTTATTTAAGATATACTAAACTTATAATTAATATATAGATATAGATAATAAAGAAAATGAACGTGAAAAAAGAACACAGGTGTGAAATATAGAGCTATATATACATAAAGGTGCTCATAACTCCTAGGTGTTGCTAAAGTAGGATTACTGTATAAAAAGACTCATTATTTTCATAAAGCTCGGCGTGTGTCGGAGAACGGGCATATAGTAAATCCGGATTAGTCAACACACGCTGATGGGAACACTTTAGCTGCACACGCTGAGCTGGTACCTCCCGCGGCAGTGATTAGCGGCCAAGCCGACTTAATTACGTAAGGATATAAATTGCCTAACTCCCAGACAATGTAGTACGCTCCCGATAACGACGTTTCATTGAAAACTATAATGACTAAAGATCAATTAGAGGTCGTGTTCACAGAACATTATCTACCATCCAAAGGCTTCGGTGTGAAGGGTAATAACATCTGCTTCGCCCCTCAGCACTCTGCTCTGAGAGTCGGCCACTGCATTCCCAAGATCCAATGTGAGACTCTCTGGTCCACAGCCTTGGATTCGAAGTCAGCACATATTGCAAAAATGCGGCTTGCGATCTGGAAGTGACTTACCAAAGACAAATATTCTCCGGTCGCTGAGCAGAGGAGGGAGAAGCTCAGGCAGACAGGGTCGCGTGTAGTGTACAATCCCAATGTCCGGCACTGTTTTCACTTCTGGAATGCTGCTAGATTTGAGTCCTTCCTCCTGAGGAATATTATCTTTGTCCTGTGGAGCAACCGTCTCCACGGATTCTGTGCCGGGAACATCCTCACCAATTCGGTCTTGGCCTGTGATATAGAAATCAATGTGGAGAAAGTCGGGCTCCATCATCATAGAAACTTGCTTTAGCTTCTTCGAGACCCATTGTGTGTGGCTCAGATGTCGGACCATCCAGATGAGGCGGATGCTTTTCACCACACCAGAGCCTTCCTGGACGGCCTCTGCAGCATGCATAATATGAGGAATGCATGCCGATATACCACTCCCACCACCAACAAACACAAGGGAATCGTATAGCGAGGGCAAATTCTCGACAATTCCACCATATGGTCCGTCGACATGAATGGTTACAGGCTGGTCGCTGTGGTTGACCACGGATTTCAGCAGGTTCTGCGTCAAACCCCGTTGTGCTCGGATATAAAACTCCATCTCTTGCATGTCAGATTCATCTTTGGTAATCTTCCCACTTGGAAGATTAGCGATTGTGAATGGATGGTTCTGAAGAGCTGACAAGTGGGGCATTCGGAGCCAGCAATGCTGACCCGGCTTCCACTTGAGATCCGTTGGAACCAAAAGCGTCACACAGATGGTATCACCTGGAAGGCTCTGGAGTGTGGCCGAGAAGCCCGAAAACCAGTTGCGGTGCACATTGAAAGTCTGCCACTTGGTGAATAAACGCGCACAGTTTTGAAACAGCCAGATTGCAAGCGTCGCCCAAAGATATGCCCAAGAGTCCTTCTCGTTCCCGGTATGCCAAAACAGAAGACCAAGAAAGGCGATATATAGAGGGATATGAATCCGGTAGAACAGGTTGTAGAAGCGATGCCGAATGATTGGCACAGATAGCACGGCGAGTCCCACAAGCATTCCAAGAGGAGGAACCCCAGTATACTGTTTCCATTTCATTAGCGCGGATAGCATATAATCAGACTCGAGTGAATACCGACCTCAGAACCGCCAGGCCTATAGAATTGCGCCCGGAGGCCATCTGCCCCACAGGTCTGAAGGGGAGTAACGATGAAGGGCACAGTGTGAACAATGGCAAGAAAAAGACATAGATAAGAGGCCCATCGATGAAAAATATTGAGCTTTTCGTGATTGATGCCAGTCAGACATGTCACAAGATTCACTTTTCCCGCTAGGGCCACAATTACAGGCATCAGGGCCGTTGACATTAACCCTGTGCGCACTGCTAGCGGCGGTGAACCGTACCCTCGGCGCTCGCGATAATAAGGATGCACGAGGAAGGTCATGAACAGAAAGAACAGCCATGTGAAGATCCCAAATACCAGCATGCCAAGTCTTGGAATTCCCCAACATGCCGCAGTCTCGCCTCCCACAGACCTATAACAGATGGATCGTGAGAGGGCAAGAATCTTGTGAGCAGTCGCACCCAAGAGATTGACGGGCTTCCGAGGCTTTCGGTTCCTGTAAAGGCAGAACATGTGGGCGGCTATGCCCACGCCCAGAATAGCGAGATAGTACCACGTCGTGTAGTGACCGTAATCGAATTGATGGGCGTAGGATACGGCATTTTGGGATGCTTTAGCGGCCCTCTCAAAGGCTAGACAAGCATCAGTGTTGCAAAATGGGTTTGAAAGTGGGAGATTCGTGGTATTTCCCGACGACTTTGTGACTCATACAAACAGCCCCAGTGTAGAGGGTGTCGTTCGTTGCAGTCTCAGACATCATTTTGCACGATAGCGATGGAGGATGTGATCACTGGGTAAAGCCATGAGCAGGTCCGGGCTTTCCAGGTAGATTATGTATTATTTCCACGAAAACGAAAGCTGGATAATTCTAGATCATCGAGCGAACTAAGTTCACAGACCCAAATCTGTGGATACCCAAAGCGCTCTAGAAGCCCCACTATCGTCACCGGGATAGGAAACCACTCACTTGATCAAAGATTAGTTATCCGAGTGTGAATATAACTTGAAAAGTTGGTACAGGGGCGCTCTTCGCTAAAACTAGCGGCAGTACTTCGGTGGCAAGATCTCAAATTGTTTAAAAAAGATATAACCACTTGAGCTTGCGATAAAATTAAACCTTCCTTATTGGGCTTAGCGGATAGATGCGATGAACTTTTGCCGATGTAAAGATCCACACTTTGGCAGGTCGTCACCAACGCTTGGACAAGATTAGCTTTCGGCGCAAAAAAAAAAATAAAAAAAAAAAAAAAAAAAAAACATGCTCATTCCTTCTCAAAAACACAGTTGTCGCGCAGGCGCATCCTTGATTAAATTTGCATTTGATTTCCCAGCGGGCGAATTCAGGGAGTATATTGATTAGAATATAAGCAAATATTGCCGCCATTTATTGGACTGTCTCAAAAGCTCAGTACCGTCTGGTTGAACTGCAATCATGGATATGTCTATGGCGACACCCACAGCGGCAGCAACATCTTCCTCCTCGAGCATGTACATGGGAATGGGCATGGGCAGCGGGAGCTCGTGCAAGGTTTCAGTATCGCAACCCTTCTTTCCGCGCAGTGTGTGATTGGGTTTTAATCGTGTCGTTAGATGCTATGGAATTGGAATACGATCGACTCGTGCTTTATAGCGGAATCTTGGCACATCACTTCTCATGGAATGTTCGCCGGCTCTTGCATTGGGGTCATTTGTCTTGTTATCTGCCTGGAATTCCTCCGCCGCTTAGGAAAGGAGTACGATCGCTTCCTCGTGAGAGAGCATAGGCTGCGCCTCATGGCCATAAAATCGGACAACTCCGTCAAGACTTCTTGTGCAAAATTTGCGACCCCTATGTTCACGCCAACGATCATTCAACAAGCGATTCGAGCCCTGTTTCATATGGCTCAGTTCGCTGTGGCGTACTTTGTCATGCTGTGAGTTTCTCTCTGGCATGCTGAACTCGTACATTATCTCACTCCTTCGCTACCTAGGCTTGCCATGTACTACAATGGCTACTTTATCATCTGCATCTTCATTGGCGCCTACATAGGCTCGTTCCTCTTTTCGTGGGAATCGATTAGTCTTGCGTGAGTCCTTTCTTAGGTGGTATGATTTGTGACGTCCTGCGTGAGTCCTTTCTTAGGTGGTATGATTTGTGACGTCCCGCGTGTCTAATATTGATTTTCTACGCAATAGGGGTAATCAACAGGCGATTGTCGCCAACGAGGCAACTGTGTGCTGTGGCTGATTCTCTTCATCTCAAGCCCATCATACTTGGAGAACGAAAGCACCCTCTCTACCCCATGGGGGGTGGTGGGATACATTGCATACCAGTTAGGGTTTTGGCTTTACTATAGGAGAAAAACGGCGCTAGTGAGTGTATACCAGTTGGACTTCTTGAGTGCATCCCAGTTAAAAATATCGGTCGGACAATACTAATAATTTCAAAAGTTCTAAACTAGCGATACTCCATACCCGGTTTTAATTTTAAGCTCGTATAACTAAGGGAAGAGGTAGTTATAGGGATTCGAAAATCGGACCTTTTTTTTAATAAGGTACGCTTTAGACGGTCGGACGAAACTTAGTTATCCTTAGGCTAGGGACTTATATAAGCTAAATTTAACCCTAAACCCTTTACTTTATTTAATAAGGTCGATTAGTAGTAATTTTACCTTATTAAATTAAGGAAGGTACCTAAGGTAAGCTATTATACTATAATTAATATATAAGATATATTATACGATAAATAGAAGAGAAGATATCGAGAGTATAGAGTAACTTTATTATAGATTTTATAGACTTCTAGATATATATATTAAGATATGTTTCCTATCATCGACCGCTAAAGATATATACTATAAATAGACGCGGATAATTAGCTAATAGCTATTAGTATAATAGTCTCGTATAATAGATTCAGGGTAATTATATTAATAAAACTATATTATAGTACGGATACAGTCACTTTATTATAGTTAGATAATAGGCTTAATAGACTTATATAATAGTCTAGTAGGCAAAAACCGGCACAAACGATACGCTTATATAAGCGAAACTAAGTTATATTATATTTTTTTCCTGAAAGTAAAAGTGCTTCAGATATTATATATTAAATCAGAATATTTTTATCTATTTTATTGAATTTTATAGGGGGGTTCAAAGTTGCTCTCCTTAAGCGGGTATGGATGGTCCAAAATTCCGAAAGAGGTTAGCGTTTGGTCCGAAATTCCCAAAGGGGATATGGTCCGAAATGCATAGGATTGGCTTAGTCAAAAATGCATAAGGTCAGACCTGTAATTTGGACCAACCCGACCCTATGTATTTCGGACTAACCCAACCCTATATATTTTGGACTAACCCGACCCTATATATTTCGGACTAACCTGACCCTATATATTTTAGACTAACGCGGCCCTATGCATTTTAGACCAACCTAACTATTATGTATTAGACCAACCCGACTATATTGGACTAACCTAACCATATGTATTTTTGGACTAACCCGACTATATGTATTTTGGACTAACCCGACCTTATATATTTCTTATTACGCCTATCTCCCTTTTTTCCGATTACTATTCCTTATATTCTATCTTTATCGCCTCGATATAGAATTCGATAAATAGTAATTAGGAGCCTTATTTTCTCGAACCCTATCTCCGCTATATATCGCGTTAGTAGGGGTTACTAATATCGTGCGAGTATAGGTTCGGAGAAACACTTTGTCCGCCTAGCCTCCGCGGCGAAGCGCAACACCCGTAAGCGCATTAAGGAGAGATAGAAGAAATAATAGGAGAGAGAGAAGATAGGCCGGCCGACGAAGTGCCTTATTAAGGCGCCGACGCGGAAGGTCTTAGAGCTATACGTAGGGCTATCGAAGCCATATATATCTATCCTTATCTAAATAAGGTCGATACGTATTAGACTAGGTCACTTCTTATACAAAATTAAAGAAAGGGAATCAGACCGCTATTATTGCGAGTAAGGATCTCAAACGCTAAGATATATCTTACTCTAATACCCGCTATATAGTGATCTGCGAAGAATTATACTTAATAAGGTCGCTCGTACCGACCTTAGCAACACTACAAACTATAATACTATTATATCCTACCCGCGCGCGGCCCGCTACGCTATTACGATAATATATTAAATAGGTCTCTTAGGATAATTCCGATATATTGAGCCGGAACCAGACGATAGCCATAAATAAATTAGCCTTATAGCTATAGGAAGGTTATAAAGACGCTACGTATATACTACCGAACAATAAGACCGGGCCACCGAGAATAGTTAGGCCACCGAAATAATTATTAATTCACTACGCACCGTAATTAACTAAGAACTAAAGCACTTAGTATTCTTCTTTATAAGGGGAATAGAGAACTAACACTAAAGAGGCGAGAATATATAGCGGGGACGAGGGGACACAGAAGAAGTAGAAGACTATAGATATTATCTTTTAGGTTTAACTTTTATATAGGCTTAATTATATATAGGATATAGATATTCTAATACTCTTTTCTATACCGGCCTCTTACTGTGGGAGATCCAGTGGGAGATCTAATGGGAGATCAAGTCTTTTATCCTTCGATAAATAAAAGAATATTTCCTTGATAGGAAACCTCAGGGTATGATATGATGATTGAAGAAGAATTATTTTTTTCTTATAGAGAATTGCGGACATATTTATATCCAATCAACAAAATTCTAGGCCTATATTAGACTTACATTATTTTAAGTCTAGGCCTGTCTTACTTTGAAATCAATTATAGTCTAGGCATCATTTTTAGTCTAGACCTATTGTCAAGGTATCATTTATAGTCTAGACCTATTGTCAAGGCATTATTAATAGTCTAGACCTATTGTCAAGGCATCATCAATAGTCTAGACCTATGTCAAGGTATCATCAATAGTCTAGACCTATATCAAGGCATCATTAATAGTCTATCCATAGAACACCTTTTAATAGACCTATTATAATTAGGTGGCTTTTCGTATTTACCTGACCAATTATAAAGATCATAGTCTTCTTAGATGACTAAAGGTAATGCTGACAGTCCTTACTAATGCTGACAAAGATAATACTGACAGTCCTTAAATATGCTGACACTTAGAGACTTTCTCCTTAATCTTCTTCTTATCCTTATTAGAGAGGGGGAGCTTACCCTTATTAATAGTAGATTTAAGGGAGTAGGCGTAGGACTTAAGGCTATTCTTAGCCTAAATATAGCTAGCCTCGGCTTTATCCTCTTCCTTATATTTCTTAGCCTCAGAGAGTATATATTCGATCTCTTCCTTAGAGAGATAACCCTTATTATTAGAGATAATAATCTTATAGGTCTTTCCTATTAAGATTCTGGAGGTGGGAAAGTGTGTTCCATTCAGTAAGTGTACGAAGGAGTAGATATATAGTAGCCGTGCGGACCAATACGGGTCCGTACGGCAGAAAAAGTTGGGTAACGTGACCGTTTCCTAGTAATAAGAAGGCCCTATTATTATATCCTCCCCTACTAAATAGGATTATATCCTTATAATCTCGGGTATATATAGGATCGGACCTAAGAGTCCTAGTTAGTTTCTTAATATAATATAAATAGAGATTATTAATAAAAGAAATATATTAAGGACAGGGATATTTGTTCCTAATAACAACCAAATATTTCTAATAGGTGCCGAAATATTATTAAAATAATAATATACGGGTCCGGGTATAAATAAGGGAACGAATACACGCAAAGTTATTATATTAACCGGTCGCGTAGGGTATAAATAAATTAGTACGTTATTATAAGAGAGGGTCCGGATAAGCGCGTCGATCGTAGGCGATTAGGGCCGCGCGTGCCCTATTAATAATTAAGCTTAGCTAATCAGATACGTTTGGGATAGATTATAGCCGCTATAGCGGTATTATTTATTATAATAGAATTAACCGGATTAGTAAGATTATAAAGATTAATAAGATTAATAAGATCACGAAGATTAATAGGATTATAAGAATTAATAGGATTAGTAAGATTACGAAGGCCCGATTAGGAAATCACTTAAATATATATGTTTATTATAGGTAAGGATATAGGCGCGTAACTTTTTGGCCCTTTTTTTTTCCCTTCTTACCCTCTCTAACCTACTTATTTCTTTACTATTTTGTTCCCTTTTATGCTCGTTCGCCTATCTTTAAGTATCTTCTAGCTAATATCTAGTATTTATTTTCGCTTACTCGTAGGTTTATTATAAAAAACCTTAAAAAAAAAAATTTTTCTTTTTATTTTCGCGCGTTATAGCCACTCCGATTAGCCCTTATTATACCCGTAGCCGCCCGCGCCTTAGTCTTAATCCTTATCCTAATCCTTCGGTCGCCCCTATTTATTCCTCTTCTCCTCCGGTTACCCCTACTTCGTTCTTTATTAGCCTTAATACTAAAAATAACCTAATTATAATTAGTTTTATTACTTAGTTTAACTATATAATCTTAAATATACCTATTTAGACTAATATCGATTAGCGTAATAGGAAGCCCCGTAATTATAAGATAATAGTGCCTCTTTATATTATTTAGGCTTACTAATCTACTATAGTCGCCCCTATTAGTGAGTTATATAATTACTGTTCTCGCGGTCTAGGCCCGTTCGTAACTTATCGCGTCCTTATATATAATAGGTTCGTTATCTTTAGTAGCGGTTATATAAACTATAACTTTTTTAGTACTAGAACTAACTATTCTTTCTGTGCGGACGAGTTTCTACCCTTATAGATTCTATATATTATTTGTGAGCAGAATCCGGATAGTAGCTTTCTTTGTGGAGCGGAAGCTTTCGCTCCCCTTTCTACCTTAGTTATATCTATTACCCCCTAAAAGTCTCTTCCCTATTTAGGTCTATTTTTTAGAGATTATAAGAGAACTAGTTCGGCTAAGTCCTCTCTGTCTTCGCGCCCTATAAAGATATTTAAACTATCTATATCCCCTTTATCCCTATCTAGTGCCTCGGTCGGTAGCCCTTATCTAGTTTTGCCCTTTAACTCGCGTTAATATATAACTTCTTTAACTAACACTAAGTTTATTTCTCTTAGCCGTGCGAAGGACTTCGCCGGTATTTATATAGTTATACGGGAGCTTTAGGCAGTTAGGGACTATCTTAATAATAATATTAAGTACCTTAAGTTCTTCCTAGCGCGTTATCAATAGCTCTAATCCCCCCTCGCTATACCCGAAGAGAAGCTAAACCCCTTCGCTATAGACTAAGGGTA